ATGTCTATTAACAAATGAAATAAAAAAAGACGGTTTGACAATGTAAGTTAAGCATTACTGGGGAGAGCAAAACCGGCACGTACCGCTTCAAGATGGGCTTTTATGGCTTGGGAGATATGCCAAACTAGTTCCTACGCAACGGGTGATGGATTCATTGTTGGGACATTTGCTGGAGGTACATATATAACTCGATGGTATCTTGATTACAACCAGAGATTCTGAAGAACGCCATTGGCGGGAAAATAGAGCTTTCCTAAACCTACTAAACGATAAAAACGTGCGGTAAAACGGAGCAATTGTAAAAAAAATTTCAAAAAAATAGAGTGGGTAGTGTTTCGCCTGTTTAATAGAGGTACCGTTCCTGTTGAATGAAAGGTTGATTCTATTGTCATCATGAAAAAACCGGAAAAAATTACAAACATACGCTTGTTAATCAGGTAACTAAATCAATTCCTCCGTTTTATCCCGAATTTTCTCGCGACAATGGAACCATTTTTTGCAACTTAATGAAAAAAATTTTGAGGTTCGATTGGTGTGCTAATCATGAGAATGCTTTTGCAAAAACGAGAAAGTCAACTTCTACAAAACGACCATTTCGATGTTACTATTAAAACAAAGGTAAAGTGCGACGCTTCGAAGAAAGATTTGGGGGCTGCCTTGGATCAGTTTCGAGCCGATGGGTGGAGGACACCTATCTCATATGCTTCAAGATTCTTGAATGAGGCTGAGCTAAAACATATCATTTATTAATTGGAATCATTAGCTGTCGTTTGGGCCGTGACGCGCTATCAGAACTACTTTTTTGGGGCTCCATTTAAGATTGTTACAGATCAAAAGGCGTTATTGACAACAAACAATAGAACATATCCATGGAATGCATATTGGGTTGGTTGCTTATTTATCTAGGCACTCCGCAGCAATCGCCCCGTTAGTAATGGAGTTAGGCTACACATTTGTTGTGGCACAAATCGATAGCATGAATAAGCTATTGCAACCGTTGGCCTCGAGTAACACTGGAAAGCTCAACCTGAACAGTGACGTAATGTGCAAATCAAAATTGCAACGAGAGTTGAGTCACCGAAGGGAATGTGCAGCAAAAAAGCGTTTTAGCACTGATCGACTTGTTCTAGCACTGTCATTACATCAAATTTTTACATCAATTCACTTGCGCACAGAGAGTTGTTTCAATTGTAAAATAATAAAAAGGTTGGCAATAAGCAGTTTGAGTAAAGACTTAAAAACCGGAGAAGTGACGAGCAGGAGACTCAAATTTTATTGTCGATTAATGTCCATGGGACAACGTCGAGTACACAGCCATCGGCTGATACCAGTATTATCCCGCTGGCAATGTTCCCGAATTCCTTATTCGATTGGGCTGAGTTCTTTGATGCAGAATTTATCGCAACTCCTACGAAGGCTGATGAAATTCTCAATTGCATAGTTGAAGCGTTAATTGCAATAAATTACGACCAAATCAAAACCTTATATCATCCTTTCAACGAATCACTGTATCAGTTCCATAGTTCGCATGGAAGTCTCGTTCTAGGAGATAGAATCGTTATGGTACCTCAACTTAGAGCACCAGTTATGATGCGGCTGTACAAAGGGCACACGGCCAAGTGCAAGGAGTGGATACAATCGGGTAAAAATTCGAAGTCGGTAATTCCGGAGAGGGACGTCACTAAGTTGAATCTCTTAGAAGAAACTAATCAAGAATTACAGTTAACTTTACATGTCCGCTACCGCCAGTATGGGTACTGATAAATTTTTGCTAATTTGCATTGATAGTTTTTCAAGTTTTCCTTCAAAAAAATCAATACGAAACAACAGCTACAGTGATTAAAGAGTTTTTTGAAAACTACATTGCACTTCACACGATCCCATGAGCCATTCGTGCAGACCAAGGGTCGGATTCCGTAGCGCAATCGATACGCAAAATTTTTACAACCAACAACCTTCAGTTAGTGTTTGCTCCAGTTAAGCAGCATCGTGCCATGGGGTTAGTGGAAATATGCATACGTACACTGAAAGAATGTCTAATGGCATGTTCGTTTCAGAAACCAAGAACGGCGCTCAAGAGAGCAGTTAATGAAATTTTTTCACGTCTAGAGCAGCAATTCATCAATACTGGGATGTTTGCCATTTGAAGCTCATTTTGGTCGTAAATCAAAAATTGTCTGGCATACGGTCCGAAAAAAGCTTTGGCGGGTAATTTATCTTGAAAATTTGTTTTTTTTTTAATCTAGATTGCAACAAGTGATGTTTCCTGCGGGGGTTCTGGGCGTGTACAATCGGGTAGCTCATTCCTTGGCGGAATCGACAGCAGTCACTAGAGGGAAACCCAACAAATCAACAATTAAGGCACCATCCTTACAGCTCAGCAGAAAGATAACCGTATATTTCGGAAAAGGCAGACCAATTTAAAACCGCAATCTTATTTTGAAAAATTAAACGAGTAAGTAGTAATTAAACAGATCATACAGTCACGTTGGACTCGGGAAAAGTTGTCTGATATTTCAATCAGCTTAGGTAGTTTCGACTCGGAGTCACTAGTGACGTTAGATAAGTCCTCGCGGCAAAGTTCAATGGATCCCAGCAAGGAAGCGGCTGTGCAGGCCACCGCGGAGCTACCTAAAGTATCAGCACCATGGAAACTGTTGGGCGACGTGGCGAGAACAGCTAATAGTCCCAATTGTATAGATAGCTCAACCGATTGACTACCGCGATGCATTCAGGATTTTGCGAAAATAGTTAAGAGGAGAATAGCGTGGTACAAAGGTAAACGGAGAATTGGGAGAAACAATCAACTTCGATTGTGCTATATCATCAACTGACGAGGGAGAAGCCGCGCCGAACACGCCAACCCATGCTTTGACGGACATGGACATATAATTTTGGAAGAACGCCGAAAAATTTGGAAGAAAATTTTGGAAGAACGCTTCTTCACAAATGCGATTACGACTGAAACTAAGCGGATTATTGTGGCGACGACCATGGACACTTCAGATGAGGACCCTAATGTACTATTGCAAGTGACCCCACAATTCGGGCTGTAAAACTGTTAGCAGACCACGAGGGTGAGCTCAGGTGGCTGAGTGGCCCTATCTAAGAAATTGTCCATTAGCCCGCTAAAAATACCGAGTCCGAAGAAGCGTATTGCCGAAGACACTTATTTTGATAGGGACAAGAACGAGTTGGGGTACTTCTTCGATGTGCTTGAGAAATTGCGTCGGATTACAAAGCACACCAACGGTATACCAATTGTTGTCAATGCCCATGATAATGAGGTAGACGAAGTTCGACTATCCGCGTTATAAGCGGTATCAATGGTTATACCAGTGGTCCACGTTTTGGCAGCAAAATCACCAGAGGATCAGGACGGTGGACCTAGGCTTTCTGGCAAAGCAGACATCAACGGTGACTCCAGCGGATCAATGCCCACAGGCGATTTGGACATCGCGAATGAAATGTCGGCCATTAGTATGACCGAGGAGGGCCAGCGGCAGATATTGAAATAATTGGAGAAATTGTGAAGTGCCAACTTATGCCGCAAAAGGGGGGCCGATCCGAGAGGGGGAAAAAGTCGCTTAGAATTCTGAACTTCATTTTAGCTAAATGTGAACTTGTAATTGCCTGATTAGAAACTTAGTTCTGTAACTTAAAGGCAGTAAAAGCCCAAAAAAGATACCGAGTCCGAACAAGCGTACTGCCGAAGACACTTACTTTGATATGGACGAGAACGTTTTGGGGAACTTCGTGGATATGCTTGACAAATTGTGTCCAATTACAAAGCACATTATTGTTATACCAATCGTTGTCGATGCCCATGGTAACAATGTGGACGGAATTCGACTACAGGCGTTATACCAGGGTCTGGAGGCGCGCATACGGAATAATAGTAAAAATCCGGTGCTTGGAAAACTGGTTGGCGTGGCACAGGCGGAAATTCAGAGGACGAGGGAGTCAATTGACAAGGCAGGTCGCGCGTTATTAGACAAAATGGCAGCAAATTTAGGAATGGCAGTTTTTGTGTCACGCCGACTTAGTAGTGCAGAAATCAATAGTCCTTCAAAAGACACTTAGGGGAATCAACCATGATTTTTGTCGGCATACATTAGTGAACCAGACTTATGTCCAATAACAAATCAGGCATCGCCGACGGTTGATCATCAGTTAGCTACGCCGCAGGCGTTAACAATGGTTTTACCAGTGGTCCACGATTTGGCAACAAAGCCATCATCGCGGATGAAATGTCGGCCATTAGTATGACCGAGGAGGGCCAGTGGCAGATATTGAAGGAGTTGGAGAGATTATGAAGTGCCACTTTACGCAGCAAATGGGGGGCCGATCCGAGAGGGGGAAAATGGCCGATTGGAATTCTAAACTTCATTTTATCTAAGTGTAATTTTACAATTGACTGATAAAGTACTTAGTGCAGTAACCTAAATGTTTATTATGATGTCTTGATTTTGTTGACGGGGGAATGTAGTGGAGACTGTTTAACTGATTGTGTAACTTATATTAGAGAACTTTTTAACGCATGGTATTCAAGTAACGTGGTCAGGGTCAACGTTGTAGAGAGAGCTGGAACTGCGGATAGCCATTGGCGAACTTGTCCATTTAAAATTGAAATGTTATCCTTGTAAACTCTTTTGTAAAGTTAAACGTATTTCTATACGGACGTTAGGAACACTTTCACACTCTTGAACGCCTTCTTTAGTTTTCACGGCTTGTTTTGTCCTCAGTCTGCGTAAAACCTTGTTTTGAAATAAGTTTTCGGCACTCTTGAACAGGCACTTTTTGGGCACATTGTACTGAACCGGTCAGTACTCTAAAATCCATCAATGCTCTTTTGTCACGCTTTTTTTTGAAGCAAGTGAAAATATCGGCCCAAAATGAACGCCAAAAAACAAATCAAAGAAAAGCTCTTTGGGTGGTGAAAGGGTCAAACACGTGAACGGAAAATTGAATAAGAGCAAATTTAAATTCGAAGTAGAACATTGAACAAAATAGAATAAATTTCTGATAAAACAAACCCAACTCTAACAAATAAGGAAGAACTTTAAACAAGGGAGCAACTTCATTGGAGCAGCAGTACCCATATATAAGGAATGAATGGCTTTCATTATTACGTAATTACAAATAGTGTTATTGCGCAATAGTTACGAAATATATCTCAGATACAAATTCTACTAATTAAATACTAATTTATAATACCAAAGGTCAATGTCAAAGCTAGAATTACAACGATGAAATAGTGACTTTTAGATGTTGCAATAACATGAATGTGAGCTAAAGATGATTTAAATCAGATGATTTAAAGTTTTGGTTATAGAATCCTTGGTTTTATAGTGCGTCGGTGGTAGTCTCAGTAGTTTATCAACTTATAAGCGATGTCAATGAATTAGTACAAGTCGTTTTTCATACAAATGGTTACAAATTTTCCAGAATTGATTCACCATAGATATCGAGACGTATGAAATTACAATTAACTTTTAAAAATCACATCATCTAAGTTTTTGGCAACATTTTTGGTCCCATCAGAGTTTTGGTCCTATTGGAGACGGTTTCGAATGCTACTTTCTCTCAATACAAATTATATTTCTGGGACTATCTTGAAATATAGTCCTGTAAATTTGTAAATATAACTCAGCAAGTGCTCTTGACATATTGCATTGATGGCGCATCGTTTAATGATGTCAATGCAAAGTTGCCGGCTGATGACGTCGCGGTGACACATGCAGCACCGCCGGATGACGCGACGTTGTTGTCGCTTGTGGGAGAAGTTGTTCTAAATATGAGATCAATGATCAAACCAATAGCAAGACAAAAAGAAACGTTGCAAACTTCAGTGCAGTATCCATATCTTTTCAGATAATCATTTTTCACATCGACACAAACAGTGTATGTTTTTCTAAAAACCTGGTTTCATATACTTGTGAATCTCAGTTACTTTCTAGCATTACTCATTCTGTAAGCAGACTTACGAGGATGCTCAAAATGTCATTTTCAGCCTATTTAATTCGGCCCAATTCCTCAAAATTTGTTCAAATTCTTACCTATTGTTGTTTTGAGGACTAACTGATGACACATCCTCCTCCTCTTCCTCGTGTACTTCCAATGAGTTTAACTCAGGAGTTTCGAGAAAACTCTTCAACGCGAAAGATCCAGAGTTACTCGACTCGGAGCCCGATGAGGATCCGGACTCTCGGCGATGTTCCTCGACGTTAGATCCATCAGATCCCAGATTTCCATGATCAAAGACACGCGCCGACTCATTTTCACTGACATTAACTCTAATTTGGTCCATAAGTCCTGCATTTATTTTCTGCTCGCTACTTGGATAGATAAAAACCGGCTCATCTGAGGCGGTGGAAGCTGAGCTGGCAAAAGAGAAATCGAAAACTTGATTGTTTTGGCTAGAAGCGGAGGAAGCATAAGTCGTCGAAGCAATGCTTTCGTTGGCAAGAGATTCGTGAAGTTTCAAGTTGGAATTTTCCACAGTATTTTCTGCGGACTCTTCAGAGGTGTCCATTGCATAATCGGATGACTGAGTCATAGATGACGTCATCTCGTTGCGCAACAGATGATTTTGAGTTGACGAAGAGACTCCACTGGCTAGCTGTTGAAGCACCTGTGCTACTGCGTATGATGATGTATTGACATGAGAATAACTGGAGGGGTTACCGATACTGCTGTTAACCATGGTGGGTGGGGGACTTTGGGTTGCGGAGTGGGGGTTGCGAACTGAAAGGTTCAGTGCCTCGTTTTCGTTCAAGTGGAATTCCAGTGGCTCCTCTTTGGCCAATGCATTCGGAGTTAGTTCTGATCCCAAAAAGCATTCAGGAGAGCTAAAAAGGTAAATAAAAGTCAAGAACTCACAGAAAATACCATCTAAAAGAAACCTGGTTCTGCATGATGTAGATCCATAAAACCCCCTGACCAAAAATGATTCATTTATTTTGAAACAAGAATATCCTGTGCGCAAGTAGCAGTGAATGGTCAGATCACGCAATTTATATGTAAAATAAAAACAAGAATTTTTTTTTTTAATTTAGAAAAAATTTTCTATACTTTTTTGAGATTTTTAGATTGTTATTTTTCAAGTTATTTAGAGGGTGCTGAAATGGTCGATGAATTATAAAAACCACTAAATAGTAGCTTGGAAATAAAAGCAGCTAAAATACAAAAAAAACTAGAATAAAAATTGAGTCTGATAATTTAATCTGAAATTGAGACTGATAATTTAATCTGACCCCAAGATCAAAATGTTGAATAAATTTCAGCGAACCAATTTCGAACATTACAGTAAAGTTTTTCTCGGGTGTTTTCTCTCTTTTAAGCAAAATTCTAAGGTAAAACTTTCGAGATTTACCAGATATTTTCAGAGCTTAACTATTTCGAAACACGAAGCAACAAATCATTACTGCTCACTTCATCGATGATCCATTATGGTCTCCGTTATGCTGTTGCTGACCCATTTCGACCTTGGATCCCAACCTCTGCAGACGTCTTCGTTGGAACTCCCCTTCGTCCACCGTCCAAACTGATCCCTTGATATTCTCCATCCTAATGAAACACTTATGGAGACTCAGATTGTGTCTCACAGCATTTTTCCAGGTGGCCGCGTTGCGTCTGAAGTAAGCAAAAGTCTTCTGGAACCAGTTGTAGATTTCGTTCAAGGTCAACTGTCTTTCAGGGTGGTCCAGAATGGACTGTCGGATGAGGGAGGCGTAAGTGAAGGGGGGTCTGACGTCACTCGACTGGTAGTAGTCGCGGTTCCTCTCAATCTCTAAAAGACCAGTTTCTTGTTCATTTTTTTCAACGTTTAATTTCAGTTTTGTGAATAATTTCTGGCAAAAAATAAACTAAAACTCAGCCCCCGAAGTTCCATTAAGATCATAAAAATTCGTCAGTAAATGTGCTCACAATTGGCATGTTTTATGATAAAATCTTTTTAAAAAGGAAGGAGCCAAAACAAAAATTTGTCAAAAGTAAAAAAAAAAGAAGGAAAAAAATTCTTGCTCAATTTTCTTTTATACGCAGTTCGAGATTCGCAACACTCTTATTAGTGGTAACTAGAACAAGCACTAAAAACTTGACATTTCTTTACACAAAGTAATGAAGAAGTGTAGGATTGTTCCTTATAAATGGCTTACATATTCTTGACAGCATCACCATAAAAGATTTAGTCAAGTATTTGAGACCTCGGCCAAAGTTTTGTTTATGATTGCAATTTGTTTATATTGACACAAGACGGACATACCAAAGTGGCAACTTGGGGTTTTTGAGAACCCTCTTTTTAATTTGACGCTACCCGATCCACTGGGCTAAATTATACTCGCAACATTAAGGCCGGAGAGGGTTCAAGTTCATCAATAAATTGGAAAAGTCAGCCAAAGAAAACAACTTTGCTTACTCCAATGTACTTAGTCATTGTATCCATTGGATTAGAATACAATGACTAAAGTGACGGGTGGGGGGAGGGGATACTCTAAAGAGGGGGATAAATAATGGGCACGGAAGAAAGAGAAAAGTGACTTTTGATTCCAAGTGTCAATAAAGTCCCATCTATTTACCCACTTGAAGTATTTAAAATAAATTGAACGCATTAATGCAGGAAAAAACAATTGGAGCATTAAAAAGTTGCGCAATCTTAGATAAATATCAAGCAGAAAAAAAAACATTTGTGTTTTATCTGTTGTTTATTGATCCTGCTAGGTAAAGTGAAAGCAATTGATAATTTTAAACGCTTCTTGAAAGAAAAAAATTCTTGATTGATTTTTTTTCAACGCGTTCCAGGAATGTTTTGTAAAAAAAAACAATAGCAATTTTTGGCCATCTCATTTTCTCACTAAATTTTTTAAATAGCGTGATTAATGCGTGTGCATGCGTGGTGGTTAAGGGTGGGGGCGCGGGTATTTATTTACGACCCGACCCCCTTCGAAGCCCACTTTCGCACTTCCCCCGTCGGTACTATTTTGTGTACCTTCCATTTCCTGATTGTTTCCTGGTGAAAAAGCTCGAATTTATTTTTTGTTGTCAATTGGGACTTGAAATAGGGGCAGAAAGAGGAAAACAGGGATGAGTTTATTTATTCTTAATTGACAATTGACACTTTCCCACCGGATGCAATTAATATGTTGACACTGCAGCCGGAAATGCAATTTATTCTATTTATTTACCAACACGCAAATGTCACTTACTGAAAAACCCTAATTGGTACCAGATCGAATAAAGAGAAAGATTGTACAAAAAATCGGTTAGATAACATGGAAAAATTTTGCTGAAAAAGTGGGCTTTAATTGGATTGGGTTTGTGATCAGGGGCGAATCTTGAATTTTCTCGAGGGGTGGCCGAACTTTTAAAAACATTTTGAAATTTTATCGATTTTTTAGGTCGACCAAATTGATTTTTCGAGCCCCCACAAATCACTATAATGACCCTATTTTCACCAAATTTTCTGTGCTGCAGGTGAAAATTTGAAAAAACAATCCAAAAAAGGAGTTTCAGGCACTTTTTGGAAAACTTTGACTTTAAAATTGCATTGGAAAATCGCGCGCTTCCCCCTCAAATTTGGTATACATAGGCGCCTTCGGCGCCTTAAGAAAAATTTAGGGTCCGTCATCCAAAAATGGATATCTTAAAATAGTACGAAGGGAGGACCCTTTGGGTCGGCAGGTGATCAAATCCCTGAAAAGAGAAAACGTTCAAACCCCCATACCCCGGCGCCCCCTCCCCTAAATCCGCTGATGTTTGTGATATGAAACAAGTCCTAAGAAATCATTCTTAAATTAATAAAAAATTACCTGCTGCAAGTGGCAAGATCGACTTGTCCCGTCTCTTCATAGGACCCCCTCCCCCCGACACAGGCGTGGGTGGGGACGAAGTGTCCAGGAACAAGTTCGGTTTGACGTCCACTCCCAGACCGTTGGGCGAAGTGGAAGTCACAAGAGCCGTCATTGTCGGCGTCAACCCGCTTCCGCCCTCGCGCACAGATGCCGACAGCGCATGATGAGTCCCACCTCCAGATTGATTATTTGCGACCATCGAAGACGTAATGGCGACTTGCCGATTTATCAGACTGGTCAAGATTTCCGAAGTCGTCGGTGATGTTGATGACTTAATAGAAGAACAGTCGTTATTCCCAGAGTTGTTTATTGTTGTGTTGTTCACAGATGCAGAGTTGATAAATGAAGAGTTGTTTGTTGTGTTTTGAACACTTGATGGTGGCGAAGATAGGGCGAGGCTGTTTATGTTTGCGGCTCCATTTGCAATGTTTGTCAGGCTAGCCATTAGAGCTGCGTTATTGTTGTTATTGTTGTTGTTTATGAAACCATTTTGAAGGAACAAGTTGCCAAGTGGTGTTCCCTGCAAATTTCACGAAAAAAATATTATTGTGCAAATTTCACAAAAAAAACAACAAAATTAATCTTCGAACAACCTGAGTTTCTACAAATTACGAATGGCTTCATTTTTCTACGACAGTGAAAAGTGAAAACTTTGACTTGGGCGTTCGAAAAATGAAAAATTGAAATGCAAATTTTCACATTTCGAATTTTTATTTTTGAAAGTCCAAATCATATCAAACTTTTCATAATTAGTCATTCGCAGAAAAAAGCAGGCAGTCTAAAAATGATATATTGGTCCAAAGTCACAACAATTTTTCAAGTTCTATCTCAGCTTTTAACTTGAAGATAATACGAATGAAAAGTACTCACGAAGAGGAAATTCGGCTCTTGTTTGATTTGCCCATTGCTATTGGCCTGCACACCGTGGTTGTTGTTGTGTGGTTTATTGTTGTTGTTATTGTTGTTTACAGCAGAGTGGGAGAGGGAGTGGGAGGTCTGTTGTCTGCTCTGAAGGTGTGACGTCATCGCAATGTAAACTTCCCTCTCTCGGTGCAATTGGGATTCCAGCTGAGCCACCACCTAGCATACAAAAAGTAACAACATTTAAAGAAAACTTTGTCTCATCTATGAAAAAAAAAACTTCCGTATGAAAATCAGATTTTTAGTTTTTATTTTATCTCATGGCATAAATTGAGAGACGTTTGATTGTCGCAACCATTTTGAAGCAAGCTGTTCGATTGATAGCGGCTGTTGTATCTGAAAATATTGCAACCTCTTTGAGTTTTCAGATATGAAAATATTTAAACAAGGAGTCATAACACTTTTTTCTATTCGAATACACTTGAAAGTTCCAGATAAAAACTTTGGAAAACTTGTCCTCAAATTATTTTGATTTGAACTTTTGGGACGTAGGATACCTTGGGTAGTGGGGTTTTATGGAGTGGGAGATATTTAGTCCTAACATTTATTTAATAATCATTTCGCTCAAAGTGAGCCCATTGAAGAAAAGTGGAAAGTATCTGGGATAAATTGCGCAGAGTATACTTTTGCATAAGAACCGTGAAATTACTTATGCTTGAAACCGTGCACAGTGAACAGTGCAGAGTGCAGAGTGCGATCTCTATTCTCACCTGCTGCTGCACCCTGAGTTGTGCCGTGCACTTGTCGTCCAGAGTGTGTTCACCCGTCAGGTGTTTGAGGAAGGCGGGGAAGTCCTCGCAGATGCGCTCACAGCCAGGCCACTTGCACATGTTGTTCGCAAATAGGGGGTGCGAACTTCCATCCTCATTTGTGGGTCTGCAAAAAAAATTAAAAAATAATAATTTTAAGATGTGCAGTTATTCGCTCAAATATTTTTGGTTTGGAGTCCAAATCTCGATTCAAAGACATAAGACGATACCGTATTTGTACAGTATTTAAACAGAAGATACCGTATTTGAACAGTATTTATACAGACGATACCAAAAAATGTATCCAAATCCAAAGCAGCATCTCACTTTCAATGTTTGCGACCAGTAAACCACTGTTTACGATCACCGGCCGGAAGTATCAGTTATATGTTTTTAATATTTTAGGCCATTGAAAGCCAGATTAAAACTTTTACAAAAATATTTGTAAGCCAAAAACACTGCCGGTACTTACCTAGTTTTTCTCATTACTATGTAAGATGACTTTTCGACAATTTCTGGTTTTTCAAAACTCTATCGCCATAATTTCTGACCACGAAAGATAGGTATGCAATGCATATGTTTACTTTCAAAGTTTACTTGCTCTGTTTACCAATTGATAAATGCGATTCATAAGAATGTTTAGATTGGCTCGAACGAAGTGAGAAAAGAAAACTACAGGAAAACGAGATTGGTGGTGGTGGTCGCTTTAGTTCTGGTGATGGTGGTGACGATAACCAACAATGATTAAGTGATGTTTGTTTGTGGCACCACGATAACAACTATGGACTTAACGACACACGACTGTAATGATAAGCAACATAACATCAGATTATTATACACAAACCACAAATTAAGACCAACAGAAAAGAATAGTAAAGAACCCACTACCCAGCCTTAAAATTCAAGCAAATTCCGGCTCAGAAAACATTTATGCTTTTGAGACTAGATTTCAAACTCAGAGGCAAAGTTTTTGAATAATTCAAGATAAAGATTCCTCAAAAATACCTGATAAGGTTTTTGAAAACTACCGGAATTGTTTTTTTTTTCTGGATACTTTAAGAAACACGTAAGCGTGATAAAAGCAACTGCGGCTGTGATGCAGCAAATAAACAAGAGAAGACCAACAATTCGTTCGATCAACATCTAAATACAATTTACCATTTGGTTCTGTCTAAAATCTGAATTGGTAAACAAATTTTGGCATAAATGAATAAATTATCAGCCAAGCATACAAACATAACAAACAACGTCGAATTGAATGTTGTTAGGCTTCGTCAACAAATTGCTAGACTAGAACAACGAAACTCGCCATTAGCAAGAAAACAAAAAAGTAGTTGGTTGTTGATGTTTGAGCAAACCAGCGTGAAAGAAAACAAATCAGAACAAAACAAAAAACAGTTTGAGCCGTAACAAATCAACAAGCAAGCACAAGAAAAAAACAACAGTCACAAATAAGTAAACAAGCTGAAAAAACAAAAATCAAACAACACAAAATGCTGTTCCAGCGCAACAAAAAAAACATGTTTGCCATTTTTTGAGCTTTTCCTATAATTCTTGGGTGATGGGAGAAAACACTTGACCCTGTGTCAATTGAAAGGTAATGATCCTTTTGTTTATTTGTCGTTCAGATTGATTAAAATCTACCTTTGGTTTTGGAAAACGACTTCGCAGATTGATTATTGTTGCGGAGAGAGTAGACAGTTTTAAGAGACTGGGTATTATTATGCGGAGAATTGGTGCTTTGGTTTAATGGACTTTGGCTCTAAAGAGGGGCTGAGGTTATTGTTTTGGCTTTTAATTTTGTTGGTTGCTCCATTCTGGGCTGGAGAGAAGAGTAAAGAAGGTATTGTTTGGGGCACTTAACAGATTGACTTGTTGTGACTTTGTTTTGTCAGGATTTGAATCAAGTTGACAAATAAGAAAATCCTTCTTTTAACAAACTTTGAGCCAAGGGAATTCTGAAAACTTAAATAGAAAACCCTTTTTCGAATCAAGGAGCGAAAATGTTCTCAACAAATCTTATAAAAAAACTAAGAAATTTTTGATTTTTAGAAAAACTGGCAAAACCATGAACCAACGGACTGTCAGTGTTACCATCAAAAGACACATATTGACATATACCTTCGTGTAATTTGCTCTGACTTTCTATATTTAGGCCAGGACAGTGGAAAACTTCAATGAATTTGATGAGAATTGAATATTTGGAAGTTTTTCACTAAAAACTGACATTCAATTAACCATTCCGAATCTTGTTATTATTTTTGAGGGGCTTTCCCTCGAATTGACAAGGCATGAAATCATTTGTTTGTCAGGTAATTTTGAAGTTTGTCAACACATCAGAAACAATAAAAGTTTCAACCCTCCATAACATCAATGCTCATCATCTCAATGAAAGATGGACAAAAATGGAAGCCACTGCTATTTTTATTTGTATACCCAGGAAATAAGTATTTAGTATTTGTATATTATTTTATTGCTTTTTATTTAATCAGAAAGAAAATAAAAATCAATAATTTTCCAAATGCTTCTGCGTTTGGCTGTTTAGTACCTCTAAGAATAGGGGAACGGGTCTTAAGAGAAACAATTTTGCTTTTCGGGCTGCACTCAAAATCCGCGGCAGAAGATGGAAATAAAAATAAAACAAAATTGAGATTTATCTGATTTTTGGTTGTTTTGTTTCTAGTAGCTTCCTGGGAAACAACTGTTTTTGACAGCCCCAATTTCTAATCAATTCTCCAGAGCAGAAATAACTAAGTGACTAAATAAAACATCTACCCCTGCCCCCAAAATACTCTCAGCTGTAAGCCCCAAATCAAGCCCAAATCCCTTCTCCCCACACGCACACATGCACACTCTCACACAACGACTCATATGACACTAAAAACCTTTTCTCAAAACTATTTTTTTCTTGAATTCCAGGTTAACTTGGGTTATAATCAATAAAAACCGAAAATGAAGTCTTAAAATATAAAACGACCAGCTTTTATTGCAGTTACTTTGCCTGCCCGCGTATTGCCATTTTTTTGCTGCTTGTGGAAACTACTTAATTTCTGGATAATATCAAGATTACTTCAGGAAAAAGAAGATGGATAAAGGAGGAAAACATAAACATATCTCGACTAACTGCATTTGGGCAAAATAATCCAAATAGCCCCCCGATACTCTCAAATGGCCCAATTGACAACAACATAACAAAATATTGACAGGGCCATTAGGCCTGTTTATGTCCGAATTGTATTTTTATCTCTGGAATTAAGAGGCTGACATATTGATTTGCGGCTAAGTTGCTTACAATTGAGCAATTTAAAACTAAATACTAGGACTATTTTTGCACTCAGGGCTATTTTTGCACTCTTGTATGGAAAAAAAAAGGAAAACATTTCAGAAAAAGCTATTTTACGTACTCCAAACGTTAGCAACTGATGTGATCCAGAAAATTAACCATGATAAGGAAAATGCTCTAAAAATCAAAAGGTCAAAAATTTGGGAAACGGTGAGGTTTGCGAAGGCGACGAGATTAGTAAGGTTAAAACTATTGGTACGCCAACCAATTGTTAATCCAAACACGGTTGTTTTGAACTAGTTTTGCAATTAATGAGCAAATCACAAGTAGCACACGCAAGTTGGGCTTTGTTAGTTTATTTGGACCTAAAAGCAACAAATCAATTGAAGGGGAATGGGTTGGAAAAGAAAAACAAAAACGGGACAATGAAGTCAACATGATAACTGGAATTCACTTGTCTTCATTATGATTTTGTTGGCTACTTAAGACATCATTAAGGGGGGAGGGGAGGGAAAGTGGGTTGGGTTGATGAGCAAATGAGTTCAATTTGCCCAAAACAACACAAAAGATCTGCTGCCAGTGACAAACAGAATTGTTAGAGCAACCAACAGGAAAATAATTATCGAGCAAACCAACAAAAAACAAGGAAGGCAAGTTGGAATGGGAGCAAGAAGTCCATCATCAGTTCACTGAGACCGACAATGCATTCAAATGTTTTTTTAAAAATAATTTTAAAGCTCAGTATTTGCGATGATATATTGCGAACAAGAGTAACTGGTTCTTGAGCAAACACCACCGAATGTCCCGAAAACGGTTAATTTTGCAATAAAAAAAAATTTAAGAAAGCTTCAATTTTATAGTTAAAGTTTTTTCGATGGATTCCATTTGTTCGGTAAACCGAAAGAGCAAAAAAATCAAAGAAAAATAGCTAGCAGATTGCGAATTCCGCAACACATTTATTTTCAGCCTGTTTGGGAACCCCCTGAAAATTCATAAAATACAAAGTTTGGTGTCATATTGAAACTTTTTTTAGATAAAAATTTCAATACGAGACCAAACTGTGTATTTTGTCAACTGTAAGCAGATTCCACAAGAGAAGCTGAACACAAGGAATCCACACCACGGCACTTTTTTTGATCTTGTTACTGTTTTATATTCCACATATAAATAGCTATAACAATGTGTTGCTCAAATTGGCGTCAAAAAAGCGAAATTTGCAAAATCCGGAACATAATTTGCGGAATTCAGAACAGTTTGCGGATAACATAAACAAAAAAGTTTTTCACATACATAATCAATTTTGAGGAATCCTACGCTCTTGCGGAATCCAGAACAACTTGCTATATTCGATCGTTCCAGATTCTACCACACAACTAAAATGCTGACAAAAATTTCGTTACAAGCTACTTCTGCGTCAAACACGAAAACTTTGTAAATTGGATTCACTTACTTTTAAAACATGTTTAAAGACTTGTGTCTAGATTTCAGTTACCTACATACAGCAAGCGATGTGCGTTCCTAGTTTGGACTATTTACTAATTCTCAGCTGAAATGGCACAAATTGTGGAAATGGTTGAAGCAGACTTTCTCGAGATTCTTTTTATACTTTTTCTTTGGAATCACAAACACGACTGAAAAGATCTAAATATGATTTGGCATTCAATGTTTTCTTTGAGAAATTTTCTTTAGTGAAAAACCATCATAGGCAAAAACAATTGCTATTCTCCAATTTTTTCGAGCTGTAGGATGAAAAAAAAACTGAATTAAAATGAATTTTTTTTTTCATTAAAATAAATATACTTTTTTCAAATGCAGAATGGCATTGTTTTTCTTTCAATTATTCTTTTTGTAACTAACAGTGCTTAAATCTTAATAAATGATAGATAAAGATCAAGATCGAGAGTGCCAAATAATACGTATATCGACGTTACCATCTTAACTCAAAATTTTTTATCAATCTTATTTGAGTTTGCATTGCAGTATTCAAGCAACAATAGTCTGGCAAGTTTTACGCATACTGATACAAATTTTAAATTCAAACATTTTTTGACTTTTCATTCAGAGAAATTAGGAGGTTTTTCAAAAACGCCTTCTAAACTCCGTAACAAAAACCCCTTAGCTCCATAACAAACACCTTAACAAAACAAAACCATTAGCTTGCATAAATGGGTTGGCAAATGGTTTGAAATGAGCCAATCATAGCTTCGATATTCTAAAAATCTCAACAAAAATCAGCAACTTTCAATTAAAAATGAAACAATTTCTTAAAAATTTCTTAAATGTTTCATTTAAGCCATGTAAAAACCAAAACTTTCCACCTAATTTGAAATAGGAAATTTTCCATATTTTGTCAAAAATTTTACTGGCAATATTTTATTGATGCTAAATTTTTTCAAAAATCATCATCTAAAGAAAATCAAAAAGGAGACCCAGTTGTTTTGCAAGTACCACAAAATGTTCCGGCAACATGATTTCAGAAAAATGAAAAAAAAAATTGAAAAAGAAATTGTAGCGCTTTTATTGTCTTAACTTCCAACTAACTTTAGAAGTTTAGCATCTCGTCAAATTTTGTCTTATTTAGCCTGAAAAACGAACAAAAATGCAGACCAGTTTTTCTCGACACTGAGACAGTTTTTTATTGTTTTTTAGAACCCAAAAAAAACGACCAATATGGCTTTTTAATTAAATAATACCAAACTTGACCCCTACGAGTTTTCTTTGAGAGAGTCAAATTTGAATGGAAAAAAGAATACTACGTGTGTGATGTGATGTGAACAATAATCTCAACAATATCTAGAGAAATTATTTTTGCAGCCTACCAACTGTCGCATTTTTAATTAAAATATCTAGCGAGAATGTTGATCAGCCTTTTTTCGCGGTTTTACTTGGTGATGTGCATTTTTGATTGAATTATCAGTAGTTGATTTGGATTTGGTTTGTTGTTATGTGGTGTTGATGAGCTCATCACAAATTCTCTTGTTACCTTTCTAATTTTATTTACTTCTCTTCTTTTTTGTTATTGTTATTTTGTTTTGCTCGTTAGCAAACAAAACAGTAGTAACCACATATGTTGTTTCTTCACTCGAGAACTCCAAGGCAAACAAATAGAAAAAGAGCTACTTTTTCTCAATAGCCAATGATGTTGCAGACTTTAAGAAAAAGTTGAAAATGTCGTTTTTCATATGCAAAACTGTCGATAACTTTTCTGCATGAAATAGCAAAAAAATTTGGTCGACTCGAATGGCTTTTTACAAAAGATGGTTTTGACAAGAACTCACAGTAACGGATAGGGTGAAGGGAACTTTTTACTGGATTTTTTTGATCTACTTAGCAATCCCCTCTTTCAATCAGAATGTAGCAAAGATAGAACTCTCAATAAAAAACTGTAGTGCTAATTTAGTGTTTTTGGAGGGGTGGAAATTAATGAGCATTCATGAAACTGACATAGGTAACAGACATGACCAGAAACTAAATGAGAAGAGAAACATATACTGACGAGAGTGGGTTGAGTTTGGGCAAGAAAGCGGCGGCAGTGGCGGCTGCTGGCAACATGAGGTCATTCGCCGCCGCTGCACTGGCTAGAAAGGGCAGAGGGTGGAGGTGGGTATGGTGCTGTTGTGCTGCTTGCATCATGGCCGGGTGGGGCAGCATTAAGCCCCCGCCTGCTTTGTTGAAAGATCCACCCCCGGCTGCTCCAAAGGCACCCACTAAAACATAAGTCACAGTGTCATTAACAGTCCAGTATTCATCACATAAAATGAAGAGTTTTTTTTTCACAAAAATAATAATCAATTACGATCAATTCATTTATTATTGTAGGTTACATAAATTTGTTTCAATTTCTTCAAAATTTTTCAAATGTTTCATAACAAAAAAATTCTTCCTAATTTGCAGCCTTAAATTAACAAATTTCCATATTTTATCAACAATTTTAATATTTTCTTGATGCCAAATTAAAAAAAAACTATCAGAAGAAACGCAAAAAATCAAGAAAAGAAGTTTAGAAAAACGTTTTTTCTTCTATACAAATATTTATAACAAGGATATTTTTTTTTATATACGGTAAATGATGAAACCATAGTTGAAAAAATGCATAAATTTGTAATTGAAAGCACCAAAATGTTTTATTCGAATGGTTAATTTAAAAATTACAGCGAAACTTTAACGCCATTTAGCTCAATAAGTAATCTACGACCTTAAAAAACTAACCGCCGAACAAATTTTCCACCATCGGGTTGCTGGACGTTACAGGCGACGAGGCACTTGATGAAGTTGTCGCCACACTCGACGCGCTGAAAAGGGGAGGGGTCAGTTGGGCTGAGGTCACGCCTCCTGAACTACTGTTGTTCACACCACCACAACCAGTTTGCTTGCCCCCATTTTGTTGGAAAAAGTTTCGCTGGTTAGCTTGGATTTGGTGCAAAAGTTGCTGGTGAAATAAGTTGATAGGGGAAGTATTTGCGGCAAGCGCCGCCGCAGCGCAAGCCGCGAAATCCATCGGTGTGTTTTGCATCACGGTCTGAAGTTTTCCTCGATTTGATGTTTTGACTTTCAATAACTCGATAGCAGTTGATTATCTAAAAGAATGACGTACTGATTTTTACTAAAGTAAGCAAAAATGGTACGAGTAAATTACAAAGTTACTGCAAAATTTGGAAAATAAATCAATGAATTAAAATCCAATTTAATTCGTTTTCGGATTGATTTGTTGGCCTTTAAAAGAGAAATATGTGAATTCAGAATGTAATCATTGGGCTAGTCCAGAAGCCAGGTGAGAAATGGAAATTGCACCAAAATTTTGATTGGATGGCTGCAAAATTCCTTTTAGTTGCAGGGAAATATCAGTTTCTTTGGTAAAAAAAAAATATCTAAAAATTCAGCAATCTCGTTAAGGGAATAAGGGAAAATTGAATCAAAAAGCTGTTTATTTGCAGAAAGCCCCCAATTTGCACATTTGTTGATTTTTGTTTGCTAGAGAATTGTTTATTGTAGATAAAGGCTTCGTCAGGTTGTTGACAATTGGTCAACAATCCGCTAAGAAATGAATATTTTTTCAATAAATCTGTTTATTTGCGTTTCGAGCTCCTGAACAGAATTTTCATTCACGTAAGCAACAATAAACTGAATTTAAACGAATGAAATAAAAAAGCGATGATCGTTGATCAATTTTCTGTAATTAGTCATCAAGCTAAATAAAAAACAAAAACATGATTTATAAAGCGGGAAAACTTAAATCGGCGCTCAAAGTATCATTAACAACAATCGCTTTAGAAAACCTAAGTAAACAAAACCATCATATTTGCGGGTGTCGGACATCAAGCCGACGGGACTTCAAGCCCAATCGTAAAATTAGGGACTTCAAGCCGAAAATTTTCTCATAAAGTGATGAACTAGGATTAATTTGAAAACCTTTTTAAAGAATTTCCTACTTTTATGATCTTATTTCAGTAATTATTCGTCATAAAATTTAGGCCTCCAAATGATGTTTAGGAAATTTGAAATAAAAAACACGGTTTGAAGGCAATTTTCTTGTTTATAATTTATGCATTTCAAAAACCGTCTGAAATTATTAACGAATGTCAATCCTAAGTGATTCATTGTCATGAATAACGCTTATTATGGACTAAACTTGCCTGAAATTTTGAAAAGCAACGTTTTACAGATGAAAAAATTGTAATTTGAGGTGCTTGTAAAGTTTAAATTTCGGCCTGAAGTCCCTTCGGCTTGAAGTCCCGTCGGCTTGTTGTCCTAGACCCCATATTTGCAGCTGAAAGGACTCTAATTTTGAAAATTAGGCTTTGATTGTTTACACTTAAGTCTTGATGAGAAAATCTTCACGGAAAAATAGCCAATTAAGCCATTCATCTTTTCGTCTATTGATTATAAACTTCCAAAAAATTAGGTTTAAACCTGATAAAAAATGAAAAAGTTAAATATGGAGGTAGAGTATATAATAATCTAGTTAATTTATTGAGCCATGGATTTCATTAGAAATTTTGAATGAAGGGTTGAAGAAAACAAAGTAATAAAAAGGATAAATAATAGCAAACAAATGGCGACAATTTTGACTTAGCTTAGTTTTTGTTTTGGTCTTAGAGAGCCATAAAGTAAACAAGATATTAAGAATCGACCACAAATAAATCTAATTTGCCTCTGAAAATCAAAATAAGGAGCAAAATTGAAATTTCCACAATAATACTAGCAAGTAGAGAAAAGCTTATGGGTATAAACAATACCATATTGTCGGGCTCAAATCTAGGGTTTAGTAGAGGCGGCTCATTTTTAAAAGAATCAAAAATTTGGTCGATTTTTGTAAAAGCTCCAAACTGAGCTTCCCAATAAAAAACACTTTTTCAATTCTATGTGCGCTACAAGTAAAAAAAGTGTTTCCGTGCAGTGAATCCATGACATTAGAGAATTTTGATAGGGTAAAATGCCCACCAAATTAAGACCTTTCCCCGAAACTGATTTGGGGGAATGTTGTTTTGATCCCAAATTAAGTACTCTTTGTCACAGCCCCTTTTCCAAAACACGATTGTGGATAGCAACTTTCCACTGTTTTAACTCCAAAAACTCACAAAAAACTAATAGAGGAGACATACTCACTTGCTGTAAACTTATCTTGTAAATTGCATTGAATGTAACAAACAATTGCCAAAACTATTGTGTTTTTGGTTTTTAATTGTTTTTTTTTTATTATTATTCCTGAACTGTTTTTTAATCCATACAATTTAAGTTTGTGTGATATCGCATTCAGTTGTTCGGCAAAGTTAAGAGGGAGAAAAGAAAAAAAACATAAACAACACAAACTTCAGTCAAATAAAACATCTGCTGTAAGAAGCAGAAAGAAAATTGAAAAAATAATACAAACATAAAAAGAGTCAACAAAAGTTACCAACTTAAATCTACACATGCCAGCAGAAAACAATTTAGTTGTTATAAAGTTGGCGCCATAAATATGTTTACTGATTGACTTATAACCACAGAAATCGCATCAAAACAATTCCTGGCAGCATCAATTTAAAAAATATAAAATACAATATCGAGTTTTTTAAAACTAACTATTAAGCAATAAAAAAAACAAAAAAGGGGATTGACCGCCCTGATATTCAGTGATATACATGTTTGTTCTGATATTTATTTTTCTCTGAGACATGTCTAGTAAAATTTTTATGACGTAGTATGGTCTTCTTATGTTCCACAATTTTTAGCGGTGTTTTTTGATATTTTTTTACGCCCACTACCACCACCACCACCAACCAAAAACTGCCGGATAAGTTCAAAATCATCGTTCCATCGAGAAAAAAATTGAGAAAGTGTGCCCATTTTTTTCAAAAATTGGACTTGTTAGTTACTTATTAGGACTTATTGGACTCAAACTGTTCCCCATTTGGCATTATGTTACATTTGTTTTTGACCCATCGGCGCTTTCGATCGGTCAAAAACTTCTTTAGTGTCACACTAAACCAAAAATGTGAAGAAGCAGATTTAGGGAGAGGGGTGGAGATGGGCGGATACTCTTCCCCTCAGGGTTTCAATTTTTGACCGACCGACCCTAATATTTTTCTAAAGGCGCATTTGGAGCAGATTTATGCTATTTTTGAGGGGTTAACGCTAATTTTTTTTGGTTAAAACCTCCCAAAATCCGCCTGTGACGCTGAAAGTTGGGTCAAGATTGGAATTTTACAGTGAGTCGGCAGAGTTTGGAAAATAAATTTGGTCGACCTAAAAAAAGACGAAAAAAGCAAGCCGAAAAAAAAACGACTTTTTTTGGTAAATCAAGAAAACTCTAGATCTGCCCTTGCCACAGACAATTTATCACTAACTCAAATCAGTTTTTTTTCTGCCAGCAAAAACAAGCTAAAATTTGTCCGATGCCTTGTTTTTGATCTTTACCCATTTTCACATTGTTTTTACTGGCAAAAAAAATCAGTTAAAATTTTGGATGTTTTAAACTTCTATTTGGTAGAAAATTTCTGCTATGAAATTTATTTTTAATTTAATTGAAAACAATCGCCAGGCCAAGTGATAAAAAGTTTTGCATCTAGTAACACCGATAGCGCTTTTAATTTGGAAAAACTTTTAACTTCCTAAAAACAGGTCCTCAATATTTGTTCGAACTGACCAAAATGGCAAAAATGAAACCCTGCATTTTACGAAAAACATTTAGACAGAGTATTTTTAAATTAAGATTACATACCAACATCTGTTAATAAAAACTGATGATAGAAAAACTGTTGAAAAACTGCTGCTGATGAAAAAATTATTTGAGAAAAAAAACTGACTCCCCGGGAAGTTAACCTACTATGATTCGATAAAAGTTGAAAAATTAAACTATCAACTAATTTCATTTTTGACAGATTAAATAATTTTAGATTTGAAGAACTACTAGGGAACGGTTCTACTTAAAAATTTATTTCAAAAATCAGATTTGTCAAACAACTTGAAAAACTTCTGCCAGCCATAATCAAACCTTGCTTTTGATTTTAAATGTTTTACGTTCCTACCATTGAAATTGGTGTAAAGTTTTTTAACTCGGCGTGTTTTATTTTTCCAAGCAATCACAAAAAATCTCTGAAATGGGTCGAACACTATATCATCTTACAAATTTTTGATCGTGAATCTAGCGAAATCTAAAAAAAAAATTTCCCACGAATTAAACAGATTTAAAAATAGTTTTTAATTTTTTTAACGCCAATTTTGAAGCGTCATAATTCTGAACAATTCTGCATGTCGAAAAATTCGATAAAGTTTTTGAATTTTTTTCTTGATTTTTTATGATTTTTGTTATTCTAGTAGTTTTGAAAACAACAACACTAATTTGATTTTTTTTGTAATTTTTGGTCAAAACATTCTGTGCTAATTGCAAAGTAAACGGCTATCCTTGTTTTCATTTTTGCACCAAGCACCACATGAAAACCTTGTGTTCCTGAAAAAAATGATGTTGAGCGTGAAAAATAAATCTGCTTTGAGCTGATCATACAAAATTTCGTATAAAATATTGTATTTAGCAGTTCTGAAAATGCATCAAACTATTAAACATGTTTTTACATGATCAAATTTGAGGTCCTCAAAACTCAAAAATTACGCAACCAGAAATTACGAGGCATTTTGCCAGAAGCCATCATTGTAAATTTCGGGGATTCGAGTGTTGCCAATTTGGCCAAAACTTTGATATTATTTATGTGTACTTTTGCAAAATTGTCAATGTTACTCACGGTGTAAGCGCAAGCTATTTCAGAGCAACGAAGTTTATCGCAAAAAATCCTTGCAATTTCAATTGAGTTGAACTATTTGGTCCCATCAATTGTGGACAAGGCTCAAACTGTAATTATTTAGTCCTCCCTCAATATGCAATGTGACTTCGCTCGAAAATACGTGG